ACCAACCAACCAACCAACCAACCAACCAACCAACCATAACCAGCCTGCATAATTCCTGGTATCTTCGGGATAAACCCATATCAACCCCGCACCGCATTTGTACAGGACGACCCCCCATGCTATACCGCAGCAAGCGTCGCTGGGCGCAGTGTCAAAGATCTGAAACTCGGCCACTTCTGAAAGGACACCTCGCAGCACAACACAGCAGGGGGACCCCCCTAAAATCCGATATATCCAATGGTTGATCCGGTTGATCATCATTTTCCCCAGGTTTTTTTTGCCATCTTGGATCATCTTCGGGGTATTCCCAATGCGTGTGACACAGTGTGTGTTTATATATGTGCATATAATTTGTTCTGAGAGATATGATTATGATATGACTCGTGTGTTTCTGACAGAGACGGACTGGCATACACTCTTCTGATGTTGCTGGATCCTGTATACGTCAGCAATGCCAAGATCACAGGGGGAAAGGATGGCTGGGTTCAAAGAAAAGAACTAGCTTCCGATGGACTTGCTTCGAAAGGAAATGATCATTTGGACCTGCAACTAGTGCATCCAAGAACCACAAAGACCACAAGAACAGAGCTGTCTCACCACAGCATAAAACAATTTCAATATAATTTCTGTATATATATATATATATCCTACCTAACACCTCGTCTGACCAAAACAAGCACAAATTACTTTTAGGAGTCTGGGGTCCAAATAGGGAGAACCAGCAACAGAAAACTAACAGCATTAGACACCAATCGCAGAAACATTCAGCAACAGCCTGCGAACTTGCTAAGCCTCTTCCATTAGTGTAATCAAGTTGCCGGGTTATAAGAACACTAAGAATTAGAACAAACAACGTCAAACAACATCAAATAAGATCAAATAGCATCAAATAAGATACAATAAGATCAAATAACATCAAATAACATCAAATAAGATCAAATAACATCAAATAAGATCAAATAAGATCAACAAATATATAAAATAACACCAAATAAGATCAAACACATCAAAATAACATTAAATAAGATCAAATAAGATCAAATAACATCAACTAAAATCAAATAAGATCAAATAACATCAACTAATATCAAATAGTATCAAATAACATCAAATAATATCAAATAATATCAAATAACATCAAATAAGATCAAGTAAGATCAAATAACATCAAATAAGATCAAATAATATCAAATTATATCAAATAACATCAAATAAGATCAAACAACATCAAATAACATCAAATAAGATCAAATAACATCAAACACGATCAAGTAAGATCAAACAAGATCACATAAGATCAAATAAGATCAAATAACATGAAGTATGATCACATAACATCAAATAAGATCAAATAACATCAACTAACATCAATTTACATCGATAAGATCAAATGAGATAAAATAAGATCAAATAAGGTCAACTAACATCAAAAATAAGATCAAGTAAGATCAAATAAGATCAAATAAAATCAAACAACATCAAAGAACATCAACTAACATCAAACAAGATCAAAGAAGATCAAATAACATCAAATAACATCAAATAAGATCAAATAACATCAAATATGATCACATAACATCAAATAAGATCAAATAACATCAAATAACATCAATTTACATCGATAAGATCAAATGAGATAAAATAATATCAAATAACATCAAATAAGATCAAATAAGATCGAATAACTTGAAACATCAAATAAGATCAAATAACACAATGTTGCTGTTGCGGGCAATGTTGGATGCACACTCAAATCCAATTCGACCAAGAGACCAAGTCCTGTTGGAAGGTTTCCTGTTAGACCTCAGCGAGAAAAATCCGCCGGCAGAGCTGATGGGCAACACTTGGAGTATTTTGACTTGTCCAGCGCTTGCAGTTGCCGGTTTTGGTCAATCTCTCCCGCTCTTCCAGTCCTTTAAAGGTGCAATTCACCGCTGCAAGTCACCGAGCACAGCTAGAAAAACAGCTAAGCTCATGGCTAACAGCAATGGAGTAGAGGCAGCACGCGGTGACCACCAAATAGATCACGGTACTTGAAAATCCTTGGCTCAGCCGGTGACATAAAGGATTAATCCTCCGAACCAAAAATCAAAATTGGTGGTCACTGCTCAAATGGGATGCTTTTGTAGACAACCAGTTGCCAGTCGATCCCAAGGTCTGTGCCAAGCAACCTACAATCTCCAAGGGGATCGGTGTCTGGGCCAAGTTTGCGAAAGCTTGAAAGACTCCGCCACTGAGACTCATCAGCACCAAAAAAATGTCCTCAGGGACTCGCAGAATTTTACCCATGGCAGAATTCTTGGCAGCTTACTAGGTATTCCATATGCTCCATGGTACATGGAGACCGACATGAACAGATATGACTCTTGGGTTTTGGATCTATTTGATTTTTGTTCCATATACTCTTGGTTTTTCACACATGGAGTAGGCATGGACATGGTTTAAGATGATCCACTAAGGAATTTAACAAGTTAATGGCTCCAATTCAGCCAACTAGCGGTTTCCACAACTCCCAGACCTCGCAAAAACGTCACAACCCTTTGTGATCCCCCAAGCAGAGTTTACACATGTCCTGAACCTTCAAGCTGCACTCCAGGAACTTGCCAATTGAATTGATAATCCCCAAATTTGTTGAAATATGATCATATTGGCTTGCATCATCTTTCATCATGTTCACCTTCATCTTCATCATCAACGACAAGCCTTTCGCGCCACAGTGGGCCACAACTCAGCGTGGATCCGTTGCTGCCGAGCATCCAATGTAATGGCCTACTGGTAGCATGAAATCCCCCAATAAACATGGGACCCCAACAACTGAATATGTCTTTGGAAATAGGGGGAGGGATTACTGTTGCCCTGGTTGTGGCTGATATTCTTGTGGATCCTGGGATCTGGGCTAAGGTACATTTCTCACCCCTGCAATCAAGGGGGGTAAACTAGGCTTGCTTTTGGAAACACAGCCAAGTACTTCACTGTGCATACAAACTATGGTGTCTAATAGTCCCTTACCCCTAATACTGCATACCCCCTACAGAAAAACTGGCTTAGTAGTAGTGGAATGTGTTGGATCTATTCATTTCGGGGGTCCAAAGCTTTTTTCTTTGAATCTTAGGGAGATGGGATTGCCATTACTTCATATCTATTTCCAAAATGGCTACGTGGACTGGTGTTTCAAACCCATGGGGATATTCCATACATTTCCATACATAACTGGGTTGCAATATGGATAGTATCCACATGTATCCACACTGATCAGGATGCAGTCCCAAGCAATTGATCCAGTCGTCATCCCACCAGATGCCGATGCCGGCCTCGCCTGCCGCAGGTTGTATCGCAACAGTGCCGGCAGCTCTTTGTTAGTCGCCAAGCCCTGAGGTGATGTGCTTGGATTCGACGATTAACTGGGCACTATGCCAAGCCACCAAAAAACAGATGGGTTTTGTCTGATTTTGTTGCGGGAAGAAAACCTGAAACCACTACTTAATCATCCTTTTCCGTATTCGAAAAACCATTTGCCATTGGGGTTTAATTACTCCATTTGTGCACAAACTTAGATATACGATGATGAAATATCTGATGAATTAATTACAAGGAACAAACACGGATAAACAACAGGTGCTTGTCCCTTTTCAGAGTGGTTGAAGATTCTTGAAACGCAGTGAACCGCAAACATAAGCAAGTGAACGCACAAGGCACAGCATGTTGAAGATGACCATCAGGATGCTGATGACGAGTAGAATGATGACAATCACTGTGATATATATATACACAATATTATATATATACAATATTATATATATATATATGTATCATTCTATTACATTGTATTATAGTGTATCATATCATATTATATCATATGCAGGGGTCTGTCTGAAAATGGGGTATACCCATAAAATATCATAAAATTGCAATTTAATATGGACAACAATTAGAATCCATTGGAATTGGGGTACCCAAATTTAAGACAAATTCCATGTGTATATATATATGTAATATAGTTAATATATAATTACTATCATCATTATTATTATTATAGTTATTACAGTGATGATTATTCTTATTATTAGCTGATGTTCATGATCCAATTACCGCAAGCCAACGCCACCGGTTCTAGAGACCTGCATCACGAAGAAGGTGGCCAAATAACCTCAGCAACTGAGGTATATCACCAGAAATATTCAAAGGGGGTGAAAGCCTCCCGGCCTCAAGAAATGTCAAGAGCATCTCAGAAGCAGACAGGTCACCCACTGAATTGCCATTCCTTCATGGAGATACTAACTGCCAACCCCAGGTTGGACCCTGACCCATCGTGACCCCTCATTGTTTGGAGTATCATCTGAAATTGAAGTAGTGATCCCTAGTTAGTTGTTGGGAGGTGTCATCTCTTTGATTCCCATGCAACACTTCGCCCAAGGTTCCAAGTCCGAAGGGTAGAGCGTTGATGAGGAGCACTGGAATCACCTCGCGCAGACTCAAATGAGAAATGCTCGTGACAAGAAAACATGAACTGCTTGGTGATTGAGGTACCCCCCCGAAAATGTTGGGGATGGTGATCTGTATACATCACGTTGAAGTCGGGGTAGAAATAAATAAAACATCTATCGTGAAATCACCACACAGTAGAACACCAGCCACAGCAACTGATGGAGTGTAAGAATATGTGAGAATCACCCATCGATTTGTGAGCATCCATATTCAATCATTGTTGCATGGGGTGACAAGCCAGGTATGGATGGGACTTTGACCCTGTTTGACTTGGCCCGAGCCCAGGAGACAAGGCGCTAAAAGGTCCAGAAAGGGCTGGATGAAAGGAAAGGCTGCGAAGAGGAACATTCCTCATTGCTGCTTGGGATGATCCAACTGCTAACAATGGTGGAATTCTGGACACCCTGCTGATGACCCAATGCTCAAACTGAAGTTTCCTAAAGATGCCTGAGTAAGGGTTAGCACTTAGGATACATTATATTAATTATATTGTCATGACAGATCTTGCCTTTCCATGTCTATTCCTACAGTAACCATCCAGTCACTTGAATTGGGCCCCAGTCCTCAACCATCCTAAACTGCTCGAGTTGGAGGATTGGTACGGGTTAAGAGGGGCGTTAAGGTCCTGGGGCCTGCAGATTGACTCAGATTGACTGATTCCAGTGAAGCACCATGGCCGCCCAGGCTCCAAATCTTAAAGCATCGGTCAAGGGCAGCAAATATGCTGCAAGAGAACCCACTCGAGTCAGGAGTCCCGTGTCCTCACATGTTTACCCTCTGAAAGATGAGACGGAACTTGAACACTCCAATTTCCGCTAGGAAAACGGCCGTCCACATGCATGTTGTTCATTTTTGGGGGTTCCCTTTTGCAGTCCTCGTCAGGATTTCTCATTATTCCAGTAGTTCCTTTCCCTTCAGAAAAAACTCATCAGGATTCTCAGTGTTGTTTTCGACCCTTCCTTGGATCTTATCTTGGTCCATGTGCTACTCCAAAACTTGGAAATAAATTTCTATGTTCTATTCATGTCAGGTATTTACCACAGATTTACGATATCTGAAGATTGCAACCAAACATGGATAAAATTATACGAAAAAAAACAAAAATATATATTATATCCATATATATATATACATATATCCTGTATATCCCCAAATTAGTTCCATGAAGTCAACATGGTCGTTGCATCACCATTTTTGTTGATTAAATCTACCAATGTATCCCACATCAAGTTCTGAATCTCTCCTCATTCCTCGGAGGCCGACTGGCTAAGAACTGTTCCCACTCCTTTCCTCGGAGAGAAACACCATGAGATGACTCATGAGAACCTACGCTCCCGGAATCAAACATGGCAATCGAAAACCCTCACGTCTAACATCTATAGTTTCCCATTACAGTAAAACCTCAATTATGGGGAATTCCCCATTGCAAGGTTTGATTACCGGAGGGTATCCCCGTCAGACTTCACAGTTGACCCTCAACTTGGGAGATTTGAAGGATTTCAGCAACAAAACACCATGGAATTCAAACAACAACTATGACTTGGACTTAGGAGATAAAACCAGCCACCACTCATGAGGGATTAACCAACTCAAGGGTCCGTCATCCAATAATAGCTGGTTAAGATCCCCTGCATTTCAACCATTTGCCAATACACTAACCCCAAGCAAAAATGTTACCTTTCCCCAGTTCAAAAATATGCTGGGAAATTGCAACTAGGACGCTATGATATGCTATGATGTTGCATTTCTCTAATTTCCATCCTTTCAATCACATAAGAAGGGCCCCCCTAGATAGGTAAGCTGGTGTGTAAATAGGCTAATGGCCAACGGATGTATTTACATTGGATATATGTACAGTTGGCTGCGTTTAGCTCAACCAAATCATAACTGTGGGGCCCCATTTTGCAATAAAATTCCATCATTTTCGGAATATGAGAAAAACATATAATTACGATATGTGTAATAATATCAAGTGCGTATGTCTATAATATTAATCGTTAAAATATATTTATACATCTGAAAATAAAAATATGAAATATATCAAAATACAAATGATTATATGGATCTACATAAATGTGAATATGTTTTTTGAATAGAATGATAAATGAATATATATGAATATAAATGAGCATAAATAAAAATATATGAATATACATGAATATAAATATATACATTTGAAAAATGTATATTATATATATATTTAAATGTATTTCAAATATATATATATATATATATACATATGTATTATACATATATATATATATATATTTAAGAATATAAACAATTTCATATATATATATGATTATGTATATATTATATATTTATATATATGACTGGAAAATAAATAAATAAATCAATATCTATATATAAATTTGTATGCGTATATATGTATATGCACTATATACAATTAAACAATCATAGTAGATCCTCTATCACAATCTATCACATTCTATCATACCATTATCTAACATCTAGCATTCCATTGTTTGTCTGTAATAGCCTGTACCACCTACATCCATTGGTTGAGAAAAAAAAGCATTTTGAAAACTCCTGAACATATTCCTACATTGCATCACCAGTAAATATGTATATATCATATCCATACATGTGCATTATTATATGTGTCATGGTTAAGACTAAAACATGGCATATGGTTTATGCCCACGGAATGTCATGACTTCATATGAATCCCTATTTTCATGGATCGATGACCAATGATGACCATCCCCAAAGTATACAATCCAACTTATGACGGGCAGCATGCGGATCCAGGCGTCCACACTCACTGGTCCCAAGCGCTGGTGGCGGGCACCAATGAACTCCAACTGACTAGTGGTACTAACAACGTCTAATTCCTAATTAGGCATACCCTATGCTTCTCCACGACGACTCTTCCTCTTTGCCTTCATCAACCTGGAGTATGATGTGTTGAATCGTTGTTGTGAACCAACTTATGACCATGGCACCTTCAGTAATTTCGTGAGCTTCATTAAATTCCATGTCTACCCACCAGTAATCAAACGTGGCAATGGAAAATCACTCATGTATCGATGAATTCCCATTCAAACTGAAGCCCTCCATGTAAGTCCCGGTTGATTACCAGTGGGTACACGACTAGGCCGCCCAATTGCCCCCCGTCGAAAGTCCCAGCTGCGAAGCATTTGCTCCTCGGTAGTCTCGTAGGCTGCAGTCTTCTCAGCCTCCTCCTTGCTTTGCATCTCCTTGCGGAACCTCAGGTGGCGCGTTGAAGGGAGATTGGGATGGATATGGAGAGATCAATCCCAGTTTTTTTTCGTACCAGGACGTTTAGGTCAGGAGCCGATCTTCCACGAGTGCCACTGGCATATCTTTCAGAAGGATCTGTTGATTCCAGCCATGAACATTTCCTCAGAAGCAAATCACAAGGAGTGGAAAATACAAATAGAAGTTTAACTTCGTAACCCCTTCACCCATGACATCAGCAGTCAATTTTGTTTGGCTTCTTTTAAGCGCAGTTCTGCTGCCAGGTTGCTCCTTCAAGAGTCGCTGCACTGCATCGAAATCCAACTCTTCTGGTTGGATGATGCCATCACCTCGGTTGAGCTGAGGCTTTGAGGCCTGTTCACCGCAAAAGAGGGAATATTTGGACGCGACCAAGTCCCAACATATATTTGTTTCCGTGCAACGAACAAATTTCAACCAGGATGGGATCACATGGCTCTGAAACCAGAAGGAAACCTCGAAGGAGCTAGGCTGATCTTTTTTCTTGGGGGAAAATTTGCATGCCCGAAAATTGTACAATATATGGGCTCCCACAATTTAAGGTAGAACTGCGAAGGTTGAACCAATGTTTAACAATTACATCGGAGCTGTCACTGGTGAAAACTTAGATGAACATTCCTTACACGTTTGTTGGGAAGAAACGCTGACGGCTGTTCCGCGCCTACCAGATCAAACGTCTAGGTTTTATGAGATCTGCGTGGCGCCGCCCACCTTCCTCCACCTCCTCATCCATCCTCCTCCTCTTCCTCCACCTCCCGCCACCGACTTCGCCCTCAACCCCAACGCCAGATCTCAGTGGGGCACCGAAACTGCGAGCGCCAGAGCTCAGTTTGCACTGCCGGGCCTCAACCGCGAGTGGGCACTGCCCGGCCTCAACTGCGAGCGCCAGAGCTCAGTGGGCACTACTGCAGGGCCTCAACCCCGAGCGCCAGAGCTCAGTGGGCACTGCCGGACCTCAACTGCGAGATCCAGATCTCAGTGGGCTCTGCGGGACCTCAATTGCGAGTGCAAGATGCCACATACAGTAGAATGTCACATAGAATGTCAAAAGAGATGCCAGATAGAAGGCGTGATAGAATGTCAGAGTATATGCCAGAAAGATCCAGAAAGAATGTCAAATAGAATAAAATTTCAGAATATATATATATAATATATATATATCTACCAGAAACATTCAGAAACTATGTCAGAATAGTGTCGAGGGGGGATCCCTCGAAGTAAGGTGATTGTTTCTTTCATTGGATAGAGTCTGACCTTTCTTAATCATATAAAACGTTTCGAAATCAAATATCTGTTACAAAAAGTTCCCTAGCCGTGTCTGGACAATCAAGATTCCAATGTAGCTCAAACTCCAATTTTCATTGATACCCATTATTTTCGCCAAATAAAATCCTATTTGTGTTGCTTGAAAGTCTGCTAACGTATTTCACAACATCTCCAAAATATTGATTTTTGGTGGCTGATCCCCCTTTCTTTGCGAAAACACCCGCGTGGAGACCCATCAGAGCCACAGATCCCAACGACGAAGGAACCATTGAGATCCAACGCCTGCACCAAACGCTCGGCTGTGGCATCGTCCACATCGGTACCCATGACATCCTCCGCCGTGGACTTACGACGAATTTTACAACGATGCCGAAAAGTTTGAAACCGGGATTTTTTTGAACGCAAAACTCATGTTTAGCATCCTGGAAATACTAAACTCATCTATAAGCTCTATATCTTTCCGAGGGTTGCTATAGGGTGGAAACCCATGATCTTTACTAACTGAAATACCCCAAAGCAATCATATTTGATAGGTTGATGCTGTATTCAGCATTTATCAAATTGTCGATATTCCCTTGAGATTTAGGCTTTCCCGAACACGAACCGAGTATAACATCAATGGAGACTTGACTAAGAAGAACACGGAATTCACCAACAACTATGACTCGGAATAACTTGCGATAAATACCAACAATAATTCATTGGATGTAACCGGGATATCGTGAAACCCACCAAACACTTTTGATTCCCGGAGAGTGCCGGCACTGCTGGACAGTTCGAACTTTGGTGACGTATACCCAAACTAACTTAACCATTGAAGGTTACAGTAGGGTTGTTTGGTATTCAACACACCCAGGCAGGGTCCAACTGCTGTCCTTGATACCCTTTTGAAGCTCCTGCCGTCGGGCTCATCGTCCCAGCAAGGTAGAATTGATAAACAAACAACCAACAAACCGAAATCGGGAACTCCGAAAACTTGAGACACAGGAAGCGGACAAGCCAGAAGAAGTGGAGTTGATACTTCGTCACTTTGTCCTGAAATAAAATATATTTGCAGAGGTGCAGTCCTCCAAGATACCAAAACCATCCAGTATATTCATATGTATTATGTTCCCCAATTCCTATGCTTTGTCTAGATATGTTTTTTCCCGGAGCACCTTGGTATTGGTGTCACTGTATAGCAACCCCACAGATAGAACAGTTAGAAACCTGAGACTGAGGTAACTATCATCACCATCTGGAAATCTCTTTGGGGGTTACTGTATATAATTTAATGATAGATAATATAATATATCTCTTGGGATATAGTTACCATCTCTTTGGGGGTTACTGCATATAAGCCTTTCCCCCGAGACGCACTTAGGGGATGGTTGGGGATTGGGGGCGATGGGGGTTACAATGAACGAGGAGATTTAACCGTAAAAAATAACGGGCATATAACTGACAAGTGATGGTGACAATATACAATCATCTTGAAGTGGATACAATATGGAATGTTCATTCATATAGATATGATATATTTTAGTGTATTGTTGTGTTGTTTCTGCATATATGCTTTCTACCCCAGGATGACCACTTGGAAATGCAATTCCAGTTTTAAATGGAAATAATTTATAACTTATAACTCTATAACATTAAATAAGGGGGTGTATAGCCATGGTTATATATTGGTTATGAGTCAGCAAAAATCCTGACACCTTTTTTTACCCTGAAATGATTGCTGAATTTATGGATGGTTATTTCTCAACCACATTAAAATCATAGGTTTTGACATGTTTTGACCCATCCCCAAAATCTTTCCATAGGCAGGTGACATCTCTCATGGCTCCTTAGCATCCAAGGCCCCCGAGCTGTCAGTGTCCAGGATTCGAAAGAGCGCCTGCCGCTCCTTGCGCCGAGCCTCTTCCTTCGTGGGTGAAGTTGGGGCCGCAGCAGGAGGATACTGTGGATGGAAGAAATCCTGCACCACCTTGGATGGTTGAAACCCTAAACATTATAGGATAAACATGGATAAACCACGTAGTTCACCAACAAAACTTGGGAGTTGACCATTTACTGAAACCAAAATGGCGATTCAACCAACAATTTGGAATTCATCAACAAAAATGGTGATTTAAACAAGAACAAATGGGAACACTGGATTTAACCATTATTAATGGGACGTAATACGGATATAATGGAGATAAAATGGGAATATCGGATGGGATTTTTTGATGAACATATATCAAGCAAAGGTAAGCAAAGTAATATGGTTATTAAGGAATTTAATCAACCAAAAATTGGTAAAAATGAGGATTAACCAATCAAGATGGGCAACGTAAGGAGATTCACGCAATCAAAGTAGGCACAGTATGAGGATTTAACCAAACATTGTTGGGTGATATAGTGGGATATAGCTAACCAACTCAATATAATATGTGGGCATTTATTAGTATTTATTAATGGCAATATACAGTGCGAAAATATCCAATGTAATGTATATATATATATATATATGTATGTGTATAATATATATATATATACTATACACATAATCATACATACATTGGGCTTCCAAGCATTATTACGAGGAGTTAGTGGAGATGTAATAGATATGTTATATGGGATATTATCCGAAAATCCGATAAAACTAAACAACAGAATTCTATTTGGGCGTGCCTAGAATTGACGAACCCTCCACGTGGATTTAGGGGTCGCGTAGTTTCAAAGAAATGCATGTAGGATGAAGAATTTCGACAAAACAAAAACGAAGAAGTGAAGATTGGGACCGCGCATTGATTTCACAAAAAACAATGCTGTTAAGACAACAGCAACAGCAACAACAACAGCAGCAACAACAACAACAATCACGACGACAACAGCAACAACAACAACAACAGCAACAGCAACAGCAACAACCACAAAAGCAACGAAAACAACAACAGCGATGACGGCAACAACAACAACAACAACAACAACAGCAACAACCACAACAGCAACGAAAACAACAACAACGATGACGATGACCACGATGACGACGATGACGACGATGACGCCGTTGTCGACGACGGCGATGACGACCACGACGACGACGGCAACGACGACAACGGCGACGACAACGAGGACGACGACGAGGTCGACGAAAACAACAAACAACAACAAACAACAACAAACAACAACAAAGAACAACAAGAAAGAACAACAACCAACAACCAACAACCAACAACAAACAATAACAAACAACAAACAAACAACCAACAACAACAACAACACCAGCAGCAGCAGCAGCAGCAACAGCAACAACAGCAACAACAGCAACAACAGCAACAAAAGCAACAACAACAGCAACAACAACAGCAACAACAACAGCAACAACAACAACAACACCAATGCATATTTAGAAATTCGGCAACACTAGATAGTGTATGCTGTACTAGAGAGGATAAACATCAATGACAAGCGATATGTTGGGGGGAAGCACCCTGACAACCACACGATACACTCGCTTATCACTCGCTACAAATTTGGTTATAGACATCTCCCCATGTCCCATTGAGTACAGTACATCCCCTCATCCCTCATTTTATCTCTGGTAAAACCACGGAGCAAATCACTGCCCACCATGTTGCGGATGCCCTGCCTGCTCCTGTTCCAGCACGGCGACTTCCTCTCGCAGCTTTGCAGCCTGACACAGCCGTGTCGATATGCAGCATGGGATCATAGGAATTGTAAAAGTTGACTGGCAAACGTCAGGTTGGAATCTATTCTCAGGATTTTTCAGGTACAAACTGGTACAAACGGAGATGTGAATCATGATTTTGAGTAGACTCAGTGCCTCTTTGGCGAGGGCCTCTGGATCATCCTCCGTCACCTGGGTCCCAGTGGTAGGACCTGGTAGGGATCTATGGGATGTACTGATGTATCTCAATGGTTCTTCACCTAGTGAAAATGGGATTCATATCCAGGTACACCCCATCTAAGTTGTCTACATTGAAAGTAGAGATGTAAGATGATGTAAGAAACATGTGCCAATCGTTGTCTGCCCTGTTGGGACAGGATCAACCAACACAGCACAGAAGCTGATGCCATTCCTCAGAGAAGAATCGACCTTCAAGTTTCAATCAGGAGTACTGTTCATATGGATATGGGTTGACATCGATTTCCAACCATTGCTAGATGACATACGCTGGTTCATTCTATGTACGTAAACCGTATGTCTGTATATATATTTATTTATATATATGTATGTATAAATATTATATATGTACTGTACATGTGTATGTGTATAATATATATATATACATATATATTATTGTATATACATTGTTTATATATCTCTGCATATGCACATCTGTGTATTGCACGTTCAAGCCCATGTTAATTTTGGTAGCTTCCCTGCAAATGTTCCACGTACCTTCCAGGTCCAGGTCACATCCAAACCAATTTGCCAGAACTCACATTGGGATGTGAATATTCATCCAATAAACAATTTGATGATCTGGCATTAGCAAACACCAAAATGACATCAAATATCTGGTGCCCCATTGCTAGGTTGGTTGGTAGCTAGGTTCAGTAAGGTTTTTTGTTGATTATAAAGTGAACAATATAGTCAGTCATATTGATGGGGTTACAGTATAAACCAACATAACATTCGGGGGCACCACCTCCTAGCGATGCCCAAAGCTGGGAAAAGGTAACTCCCAAAAAGATAGGACCGCCCATCAGGATGCTTTTTCAATCACGAATTCACGAATGCATCTAGTCACAATCATTACCAAACTAGTATAATTACTATACTTAACCAGTATTTTGGGATTGGATTTCACAAAAATCCCATCTTTTGTTGGTGCATCGAATTCTTCTGCCACGGTTTTTCACCGTGCCCTCCCGAAGCCACTGAGATCCGAGCCGCTGAGGATCCTGGTGAGGCTATTGGGATATAGCTGGGTCAAAAATAATGTCGTTTTGCAATGTCTTGCAGGCCATATGTCTACGGCCAGGCGCTGTGTGTCGCCCGGAAGGTTCAAATGGCGTTTAAACATGTTCGCTGCAACCCTGACGTTGCGCCGCGTCTGACTTCAGGTGGCTATGAAGAAAAAGTTGATGTATTACCCCAACCAACATATTGTTCATAGGGGGTGGCGAATTTTGATCCCTCATGAAGATAAAGTTGATGTTACTACCCCAACCAATTTATTGTTCATAGGGGGTGGCGAATTTTGATCCCTCATGGAGATATAGTTGATGTTTTTCCCCCAATCAACATATTGTTTCAACATATTGTTCAGAGGGGGTGGCGAATTTTGATCCCTCATGGAGATATAGTTGATGTTTTTCCCCCAATCAACATATTGTTCATAGGGGGTGGCGAATTTTGATCCCTCATGAAGATAAAGTTGATGTTACTACCCCAACCAATTTATTGTTCATAGGGGGTGGCGAATTTTGATCCCTCATGGAGATATAGTTGATGTTTTTCCCCCAATCAACATATTGTTCGGAGGGGGTGGCGAATTTTGATCCCTCATGGAGATATAGTTGATGTTTTTCCCCCAATCAACATATTGTTCATAGGGGGTGGCGAATTTTGATCCCTCATGAAGATAAAGTTGATGTTACTACCCCAACCAATTTATTGTTCATAGGGGGTGGCGAATTTTGATCCCTCATGGAGATATAGTTGATGCTTTTCCCCCAATCAACATATTGTTCAGAGGGGGTGGCGAATTTTGATCCCTCATGGAGATATAGTTGATGTTTTTCCCCCAATCAACATATTGTTCAGAGGGGGTGGCGAATTTTGATCCCTCATGGAGATATAGTTGATGTTTTTTCCCCCAATCAACATATTGTTCATAGGGGGTGGCGAATTTTGATCCCTCATGAAGATATAGTTGATGTTTTTCCCCCAATCAACATATTGTTCAGAGGGGGTGGCGAATTTTGATCCCTCATGAAGATAAAGTTGATGTTTTCCCCAATCAACATATTGTTCATAGGGGGTGGCGAAATTTTGATCCTCATGAATATGTTATTGTTTTTCCCCCAATCAACATATTGTCAGGGGGGTGGGAAGTGACCCCTCATGGAGATATAGTTGATGTTTTCCCCCAATCAACATATTGTTCATAGGGGGTGGCGAATTTTGACCCCTCATGAAGATAAAGTTGATGTTTTTCCCCCAATCAACATATTGTTCAGAGGGGGTGGCGAATTTTGACCCCTCATGGAGATATAGTTGATGTTTTCCCCCCAATCAACATATTGTTCAGAGGGGGTGGCGAATTTTGACCCCTCATGGAGATATAGTTGATGTTTTTCCCCCAATCAACATATTGTTCAGAGGGGGTGGCGAATTTTGATCCCTCATGGAGATATAGTTGATGTTTTCCCCCCAATCAACATATTGTTCATAGGGGGTGGCGAATTTTGATCCCTCATGAAGATAAAGTTGATGTTACTACCCCAACCAATTTATTGTTCATAGGGGGTAGCGAATTTTGATCCCTCATGGAGATATAGTTGATGATTTTCCCCCAATCAACATATTGTTCAGAGGGGGTGGCGAATTTTGATCCCTCATGGAGATATAGTTGATGTTTTTCTACCAATCAACATATTGTTCAGAGGGGGTGGCGAATTTTGACCCCTCATGGAGATATAGTTGATGTTTTTCCCCCAATCAACATATTGTTCAGAGGGGGTGGCGAATTTTGATCCCTCATGGAGATATAGTTGATGTTTTTCCCCCAATCAACATATTGTTCAGAGGGGGGGGCGAATTTTGATCCCTCATGGAGATATAGTTGATGTTTTTCCCCCAATCAACATATTGTTCAGAGGGGGTGGCGAATTTTGATCCCTCATGAAGATAAAGTTGATGTTACTACCCCAACCAACTTATTGTTCATAGGGGGTGGCGAATTTTGATCCCTCATGGAGATATAGTTGATGTTTTTCCCGCAACCAAAATATTGTTCAGAGGGGGTGGCGAATTTTGATCCCTCATGGAGATATAGTTGATGTTTTTCCCCCAATCAACATATTGTTCATAGGGGGTGGGAAATTTTGATCCCTCATGGAGATATAGTTGATGTTTTTCCCCCAATCAACATATTGTTCAGAGGGGGTGGCGAATTTTGACCCCTCATGGAGATATAGTTGATGTTTTTCCCCCAATCAACATATTGTTCATAGGGGGTGGCGAATTTTGACCCCTCATGAAGATAAAGTTGGTGTTTTTCCCCCAATCAACATATTGTTCAGAGGGGGTGGCGAATTTTGACCCCTCATGGAGATATAGTTGATGTTTTCCCCCCAATCAACATATTGTTCAGAGGGGGTGGCGAATTTTGACCCCTCATGGAGATATAGTTGATGTTTTTCCCCCAATCAACATATTGTTCAGAGGGGGTGGCGAATTTTGATCCCTCATGAAGATATAGTTTTTTTTTTCCCCAATCAACATATTGTTCAGAGGGGGTGGCGAATTTTGACCCCTCATGGAGATATAGTTGATGTTTTTCCCCCAATCAACATATTGTTCAGAGGGGGTGGCGAATTTTGATCCCTCATGGAGATATAGTTGATGTTTTTCCCCCAATCAACATATTGTTCAGAGGGGGTGGCGAATTTTGATCCCTCATGGAGATATAGTTGATGTTTTTCCCCCAGCCAACATATTGTTCAGAGGGGGTGGCGAATTTTGATCCCTCATGGAGATATAGTTGATGTTTTTCCCCCAATCAACATATTGTTCAGAGGGGGTGGCGAATTTTGATCCCTCATGAAGATAAAGTTGATGTTTCTCCCCCAACCAACTTATTGTTCAGAGGGGGTGGCGAATTTTGATCCCTCATGGAGATGTAGTTGATGTTTTTCCCCCAATCAACATATTGTTCAGAGGGGGTGGCGAATTTTGATCCCTCATGAAGATATAGTTGATGTGTTTCCCCCAATCAACATATTGTTCAGAGGGGGTGGCGAATTTTGATCCCTCATGGAGATATAGTTGATGTTTTTCCCCCAATCAACATATTGTTCAG